GATGAGGAGGAGGAGGAGGAGGAGGAGGAGGAGGAGGAGAGAGGATGGAGAGGAGGAGGAGGAGAAGGAGGAGGAGGGAGGAGAGGAGGGAGGAGGAGGAGGAGGAGGAGGAGGAGGAGCAGGAGCAGGAGCAGGAGCAGGAGCAGGAGGAAGAGGAGGAGGAGGAGGAGGAGGAGGAGGAGGAGGAGGAGGAGGAGGAGGAGGATGAGGAGGAGGAGGAGGGAGAGGATGGAGAGGAAGGGAGGACGGCTTCTGGAGTTCTCCGCCATTACTGTTACCGTGGGCAACTGCGTCTTTCTCGACGCGGCGCCACCAGCGACATCTTTGCGCCTGCCCGCGGAGCAGCCTGCGGGTCGTCGACAGTGCGTCGTAAAACAGGCCCGCGCGCGAACGCGGAACGGTTGCCCACTTGTTCTAGCGCGCACCCAAGTGTTATACAGGCCTCGGGAAAACTAGCGAACACTCATGCCACATTCATCTGTCAACGCCTCCCCCTGCCCCCACTGTTCAAAGTTGGCGGTGGGTCTGAATAGCTGCACCTCGACCGCAGTCTCCCCCGCGCGTGCCAACGTTGAGTTTGGGGGGGGAGGGGGAGTGTTCAGTAATTGTTTCCCTCTACCGTATCTAGCGCGCACCCAACTGTTGTGGCGATACCAATTCGTCAAAAGTGTTAGGCAGGGCTGCCAAATCAATTCTGGAAGCGTGTAGGGTCTGCAGGAAGGCGAAGCTTCGAAAACTCTCATCAAGTAACGCTGACAACTTCTTCGAGGACACTGCACACGTCCTGAGAGCAACAGGGCGTTCGTGATTCCATGGCAAGATCACCAGCGAATTCTTTGCGATGACAGCGTCTGCAAAGCAACAAACTGCGTGAAACTTTCCGGAAATTCTCGGATGCGGATTGGCTGGAAATCCAGACTCCGCAGGCTTTGGGGCAGCGCGAACTGAGACGGCAAAGCCACGAGCCACTTCAGAGCGAAGATGTGCCCCCGCATGCGCTGCATGGAACAGCAGGTATCTGGAAGGGCACCGAACCTGTTCACTGAGATATCCAGGCCTCTCAGAGCGGGAAGCTGCCCACACCGACTTGGCAGCCGAACCAACTCTTTTGACGAGGTGTTCGGGCTCAGCAAGGCCTCGCGTAGTCGATCTATCGCGACGCAGCCAACACTGGGAGGGATAGGAGTTCCCCCCAGAAGTCCCGTGGTAACTTGTTTGCGCGCATGTCCAGAGCCCGCAGGGGTCTCGGGCAGCCGATGCCATTGGCTGGTGAGGCCAGCCTCTTCGGCCGCAGGTCCCAAACATGCAGGGCGGACAGCTGGTCGATGCTCTCGTAGAACGGCAAGCCGGTTCACCGGCGCACCGAACCTCGGCAATGCGATCGACTCGCAGACTCTCTGGGGCAGCGCTGCAAACCGATTCTCGCCCAGGCTCAGGATGCACAGCGCCAGTCTCCCTAGCCCGACTGGCAGCCTGCGGACCCTTTCGGTTCGCAAGTTCAGCGTCGCCAGCGACGCCAACCAGTCGATGCCCTCGGAGGCAGGGCAACCAACTCGTTCGAGGCGGTGTCCAGACTGTGCAGGCCGCTGGGCTCGCCGATGCCGCGGGAGGCCGATCAGATTTCTGGCTCGAGCGGAAATCCAAGGACTGCTGACTGCAGGGAGTCGAGCTGGCTCGAGCTGCGAGGCCTCGACGGGAACCTGTCGGAACAGAGTTGGGCTCCAGGAGCTTCAGAATCATTGCTGCCAGTGTTCTCTGGCGAACTCGCCAGAGCGTTCGACCATGCGAGCAGCATCTGCAGAACCGCGAGGCCACCAGCAGTTGTCCCGCAGCCCCGCCGAGCTGCTCCACGACAGGCTCGGCTGCCCGAGGGCCCTCCGCCGGCAGAGCCTCAGCGGCAGAGCCTCGCAGGGTGAGACACCCCTGGCAGGCAAGAGCGCTCGGCCGGCCAAGTAGGCACCTTGGGCACGCGGCCGCGCGGGACCCGTGCCACCGCTGCGCTTTGGGCGTGCGTCCAGGCGCCAGCAAGCTCCACTGCTTCCGTGCCGCCGGCCCGCCGACGGCCTGGTGAGCCCCAGCGCCCCGTGCGGCCAGCAGCCCCCGCCAGTGGCCTGCCCGGCAGGCGCCGCAGAGCGCGCGCTCCGCGCGTGCTGCTCTGCTCTGGGCGGCAGCGGCGGCAGCCTTGCCGCGGTCGCGCCAACCCGCGGCAGCCCGCGGCAGGGCGCGCGCACGGCGCCGACCCCCTTCGTCGCCTGCCGGGCCCCTCCCGGCGCCAGCCATCGCCCCGGCCTGCTGGCCTCAGGCAGCTCCTCAGCATGCCGCGGCCCAAACTGGATGCGCGGCCGCCTCAAGGGCGTCGAGCTCGCCCTCGCCAGCCAGCCTGGCCGCCACGCCACGGGCGCGCGGCGCGGGTGCTCTTGACCGTCCCGATCCAGTGGGCGGAAGTGGCTGCGGTGGAAGTTCCAAGGGTTTGGGGGACTCCAAGGGGCAGAGCGGGAGG